ATATAAAAACACGCGTGTATTCAAATGGAACGTTGTATCAAAATTTCAAAGCAATCGATGAAGAACTTTCGGAGATTTCAGCGTGTGTTGCTCTTATGTCTAACATGTGGCGCTGTTTAAAAAAAAAACTATTTTTCCTGTCGCAGATGTGGCATGCTTATAGGAGGTATATAAAAGCACGCGCCAATTCGAATGCAAGGTTGTGTCAAAATTTCAAAGCAATCAGTAAAGAGGTTTCAAAGATTTCCCTCCCATGAAAAACACATGAAAAAATACAGTTTTTCAAAAAGAGCATGTTTTCCCCCCATCACAGACGTAACATCTATATAATAAACCCGCTCGGATGCGAATGAAACGCTGTGTGAAAATAGTAAAGCAATCGGTGAAGAACTTCCTGAGATTAGCGATTTTGAACAATCGAACATTTACATTTTTATTTATATAGATATATATATATTCTAGCAGTAGCCGGCCACGTATTGGCCGGGTACTGCTAGTATAAATTCGTGTCCCCTGGAACCTTCCCTGTCCCCCAGTCCCCCCCTACAATTTCCCCCTCACCCGTCTCCTCGGCGTCCCAACCATTCTCTACTCACCCATCCCCTCTTCCATCCTACCATGCATCACTCCCCTGTCCCTTTGTCCTCCACACCATTCTCCAGTCCCCGATCCCCTCGTCCCCACCATCCCAAACTCCCCCATCCCCTCGTCCTTCCCCACCATTACCCCCTCCTTTGTCCCCTCGTTATCCCCACCAACTCTCACTTCCGTCCCCTCGTCCTCCCCACCATTCCCCACTCCCTCGTCCGATGCCTTCCCAAATGGTCTAATGTTCCCATCAGAAAATTAGGAACATCAAGTGATCTGATGTGCCCATTACTGAAATATAAGAAAAAGTTAAAAAATGAAATGAAAATATGAAAAAGTAAACAAATAAACTATACTCACGAAATGGACGGCATGGTAAACAACACAAGTCAGTTCCAACACAATTCACACAAAATAATTAAATCAAAATGTAAATAAATCAAAATCAATGAAAATTCAATTTATCAATGCAATCAGAAACATTGAAATGGAATTGTAACCTATTTAGAATAGCATGTGTGTTCCTCATACATGCAACAGATGGTCATGTTTTTCAAGAAATGCATAGTTTTACCAGTAGCAGGTTTGGCATCTATACTTGCACTTACGAAACGAACGGTATGGTAAACAACACAGCTCAATTCCAACACAATGTCACACAAAATAATTTAATAAAAAATAAAATAAATCGAAATCTATGAAAATAAAATTTATCAATGCAATCGGTAACATTCAAATGGAATTCGTGACATATATAGTATAGCGTGCATGTTGCTATTATGTACAACAGATGGCGCTGTTTTTCACAAACGCATGTTTTTACCTGTCACAAAGGTGGCATTTATATAGTAGGTATGTAAAAAGACGCGCATATTCGAAAGGAACGTTGTGTCAGAATTTCTAAGCAATTGGTGAGGAACTTCAGGAGATTACAGCGTGTGTTGCTCTTACATCCAACAGATGGCGATGTTTTTTAAAAAAAAGCATGCTTTCTCCGGTCACAGGAGAAAGCATGTATATAGCAGATATATAAAAACACGCGCCTATTCGAATGCAACGTCGTGTCAAAATTTCAAAGCAATCGGTAAAGAGGTTTCGGAGATTTCTCTCACATGAAAAACACAGTTTAAAAAAAAAAACATGTTTTTTTCCTTCACAGACGTGACATCATTATAATATGTATATAAAAACCTGCTCGAAGCGAATGGAACATTGTGTGAAAATTTCAAAGCAATCGGTGAAGAACTTTCGGAGATTAGCGATTTTAAACAAACGAACATTTCCATTTTTATTTATATAGATTATATATATATATATATATATATATATATATATATATATATATATATATATATATATATATATATATATATATATATATATATATATATATATATGTGTGTGTGTGTGTGTATATCACGAAAATAAACACGTGATTAAGAATGTGACAATGTCAGACCACGGAGGAAAATGAAACAGGAATTTCCTTAAGTACTTTCGTATATTAAATACATCTTCAGAAGGAATCATATTATATATATATATATATATATATATATATATATATATATATATATATATATATATATATATATATATATATATATATATATATATATATATATGTCGTACCTAGTAGCCAGAACGCACTTCTCAGCCTACTATTCAAGGCCCGATTTGCCTAATAAGCCACGTTTTCATGAATTAATTGTTTTTCGATTACCTAACCTACCTAACCTAACCTAACCTAACATTTTCGGCTACCTAACCTAACCTAACCTATGAAGATAGGTTAGGTTAGGTTAGGTTAGGTAGGGTTGGGTAGGTTCGGTCATATATCTACGTTAATTTTAACTCCAATAAAAAAAATTGACCTCATACATAATGAAATGGGTAGCTTTATCATTTCATAAGAAAAAAATTAGAGAAAATATATTAATTCAGGAAAACTTGGCTTATTAGGCAAATCGGGCCTTGCATAGTAGGCTGAGAAGTGCGTTCTGGCTACTAGGTACGACATATACATATATATATATATATATATATATATATATATATATATATATATATATATATATATATATATATATATTGTACCTAGTAGCCAGAATGCACAACTTGGCCTACTATGCAAAACCCGTTTTGCCTAATAGACCAAGTTTCACTAAATTTATATATATTTTTAATTTTTTTCGTATGAAATGATAACGCTATCCATTTCATTATGCATGAGTTCATTTTTTTAAATTTGAGTTAAAACTAATATAGATATATGACCGAACCTAACCAACCCTACCTAACCTAACCTAACCTATCTGAAAGTAATCTAAACTAACACAAATAAGTCAATAATTTATGTTCCTAATATAATAATAATAATTCAAATAAACTAAATGGAAACATTTTATTTAAAATAATGAAAATCACTCGGCTTATTAGGCAAATCCGGCCTTGTATAGTTAGAAGAGAAGTGCGTTCTGGCTACTAGGTACGACATTATATATATATATATATATATATATATATATATATATATATATATATATATATATATATATATATATATATATATATATATGTCGTACCTAGTAGCCAGAACTCACTTCTCAGCCTACTATTCAAGGCCCGATTTGCCTAATAAGCCAAGTTTTCCTGAATTAATTTATTTACTATAATTTTTTTCTTATGAAATGATAAAGCAACCCTTTTCACTATGTATGAGGTCAATTTTTTTTTATTGGAGTTAAAATTAACGTAGATATATGACCGAACCTAACCAACCCTACCTAACCTAACCTAACCTATATATATAGGTAAGGTTAGGTTAGGTAGCCAAAAAAAGCTAGGTTAGGTTAGGTTAGGTAGGTTAGGTAGACGAAAAAACATTATATCATGAAAACTTGGCTTATTAGGCAAATCGGGCCTTGCATAGTAGGCTGAGAAGTGAGTTCTGGCTACTAGGTACGACATATATATATATATATATATATATATATATATATATATATATATATATATATATATATATATATATATATATATATATATATATATATATATATACCTAGTTTCCAGAACGTACTTCTCAGCCTACTATGCAAGGCCCGATTTGCCTAATAAGCCAAGTTTTCCTGAAATAATATATTTTCTCTAATTTTTGTCTTATGAAATGATAAAGCTACCCATTTCATTATGTATGAACACAATTTTATTTTATTGGAGTTAAAATTAACGTAGATATATGACCGAACCTAACCAACCCTACCTAACCTAACCTAACCTATCTTTATAGGTTAGGTTAGGTTAGGTAGCCGAAAAAGTTAGGTTAGGTTAGGTTAGGTAGGTTAGGTAGTCGAAAAAACATTAATTCATGAAAACTTGGCTTATTAGGCAAATCGGGCCTTGCATAGTAGGCTGAGAAGTGCGTTCTGGCTACTAGGTACGACATATATATATATATATATATATATATATATATATATATATATATATATATATATATATATATATATATATATATATATATATATATATATATATATATATATATATATGTGACGATAATCTCTTTCAAGAGAGATTGAGCCTGCTCTTCCCTACATCATTCACGTCATGTTACAAGTACAAGATACTATATTGAAGATACGTCCACCAGTATCGCTAAACGTTTTGCCCAGGAAGCAAAGCGTACCTTGCACCACCCGACACGCCGGCTCCTCCGCCCGCCTTCAATGAGCAAACTACCCTTTCTCCGCCTGCCTGCTCCTGATTGGCTGGTGTATCGCCGACCGCACCTGCCCCTGCACTCACGCCCCCCCTACCTGAGTCGACGTCAGGGCCAGCACACGCCGTACTCCTCAGAATATCTCTGTGCTCTTAGAAGTTGACATCTCTCTCTTGTAGACTAAGCCCTGGCTGTCGTGTACTAAGGGAGGTGGCAGCTTAAGCCAGTATTCTCAGCACCTGATTATTATCATTATTGTCTTGCACTTCATTTTATTTTAGAGTAATGTTACATTCATTAATTATTCATGTTGTTTTGTTTGTTGACTTGTTTTGAATTTTACGTAAGCCAAGGGATTGTCTTTGTTCATATCTTGTTTTCTAAAGTAATTAAAATTTCGTTGTTTATATTTTGTGCTTTGTGTGTCTTCTCATTACCTTACCACAGACAAACAGGCAAGCAGTGTCTTTTTTTTTCTGTAAATGTGACAAGGCATTGCCACCTGCCATTGGAGGACTGCCGAACATCAACACTCCAACACTTTACCGTCAAAATATATATGTATGTACCTAATAAAGTATGTAGCAGTCTGCAAACACAATCTCACATTCTGGGAAATAATGGTGGAGCAAAGCGCCAGTAACTAGCAAGACAGTAAGCTCTTGTTAATGACTCAATTCTCTTTCAGATCGGTGCTGTCATCAACGGCCTGAGCTCCATAAGCGTCCTGACTGGTGGATCTCTGGAACAATTCGTAAAGCAAAAGTGTACTGACGAGTCTTTAGATGTTAACACCGAGTGTGAAGAGACACTGGGGAATATAAGTATGTATCTCAGTTATTGGACACTTGTTTCGTGAGCAATATCGACTATGATTTTTCATTCCAATTTTTGTTTATCAGAGTAGTGTTTCTGAATACTAAATGCTTGATAGGCATCATGCCTCAGTTAACAAGTATATCTGTTATGTGTCATAATATATTCCATGGTATCTACCAAGATATGTTATAACAATTGTGTCGGAGGACAGGGAGCTTGCTTATATATATATATATATATATATGTCGTACCTAGTAGCCAGAACTCAGTTTTTGGCCTACTATTCAAGGCCCGATTTGCCTATAAGCCAAGTTTTCCTGAATTAATATATTTTTTCTAATTTTTTTCTTATAAATGATAAAGCTACCCATTTCATTATATGAGGTCAATTTTTTTTATTGGAGTTATAACGTAGATATATGATATACCTAACCTATATATCTTTATAGGTTAGGTTTGGTTAGGTAGCCGAAAAAGTTAGGTTAGGTTAGTTAGGTAGGTTAGGTAGTCGAAAAACAATTAATTCATGAAAACTTGGCTTATTAGGCAAATCGGGCCTTGAGCCAAAAAGTGAACGGTACGACTATCTACAGTAGCCAGAACGCACTTCTCAGCTACTATGCAAGGCCCGATTTGCCTAATAAACCAAGTTTTCATGAATTAATTGTTTTTCGACTACCTAACCTACCTAACCTAACCTAACCTATCTTTTTCGGCTTCCTAACCTAACCTAACCTATAAAGATAGGTTAGGTTAGGTTAGGTAGGGTTGGTTAGGTTCGGTCATATATCTACGTTAATTTTAACTCCAATAAAAAAAAATTTACCTCATACATAATGAAATGGGTAGCTTTATCATTTCATAAGAAAAAAATTAGAGAAAATATATTAATTCAGGAAAACTTGGCTTATTAGGCCAATCGGGCCTTGCATAGTAGGCCGAGTACTGCGGTCTGGCTACTAGGTACAACATATATATATATATATATATATATATATATATATATATATATATATATATATATATATATATATATATATATATATATATATATATAAGATAACCTCACAATAACCCTTAAGATAACCTCAAGATAACCTCAATTCAAACTCTGAACTCGGTATTATAGTAAACATCAACCAAGTAGTGCAAAAAAAAAAAACTAACAAAAAATCACAAAACTCTGAGCCTCTATAATACCCAATGTCCAATGCTAACTAAATAAGTCAAACCTAAAAAGTTAAACAAAATATGGCTTACTAAAGGTATACTTAAATCTATATAAAAAAAAATAGATCGTGAGAAGAAGTATGGCTTTGTTGCTATTGACTCTGCCCTTTCACCTGACATAAGCTTAACCCCCTTTTTTCTCTTTCTTTTCCTTTCTATCTCCTCTTATTCTTACACCCATTCCATCCATTCTCATTTTTTCTTCTTATTCTTACCTTTCTCCTGTTCCTTCCTCCTCACCTCTCTCTTGCCTTACTGATGCCCTTGTCTCCCTTTCTCCCATCGCAATTGACTTGATAATGGTGAAGGACGGACAGAAATGTCGTCGTCTCTTCATCTTTTGGTATGTGATTTGGTCAACATTTCTTCAGCCACGTTATTGTGACTCATCATCTGTGCAAGAAGTATAGGTTATTGTTCATCTCCAAAGAAGGAGATACCCATCAATGCTATCCAAAAAATGCAGCTCTTGATACAAATGGGTACTCTATTGGATTATTTGTTAACCTACGTTAGGCTTTTGTCACTGTTAACCACAATAACCTTATTGTTCTTAAATTACAACACTATGGAATCAGAGGTTACTCCCTCCAATACCTTCAATCTTACCTAGTGACAGGCTCCTGTATGTCTCTGTAAATAATTCCAATTCTCCCACCCTACCAATCAACATTGGTGTTCCATTGGGTAGTATACTTGGCCCTCTTCTCTTTATCATCTATTTTATTGACCTTACAAGTGCCTTTTAACACCTCAAGCCAATTTCATTTGCTCATGACACAACCTTCATTTTCTCCAGTCTTAGCCCTCTTATTCTGAATGACCCAGTGAATACTGAACTAAATAAAGTCCATCTTTGGCTAACTGCTAACAAACTTACCCTTAACAATGACAAAACAATATATTTTGTCTGGTAATAAATCCTCTAATCAAAGTAATCTAAGAATTACCAATATCCAAATTAGTAACAAAGTAGATGGTAATATCCTTGGTGTTCTTATCGATAACAAACAGTTTCCAGGCCACATTCAAAATATAGATAAAAAAGTTTCTAAAACAGTTGGCCTTCTATCTAATATTTCTAAAGATAGTAAGATTTGCCCGAAAGGCTGTCAGTATTAGTAGCTTTAGGCATAGTATAAACAATACTAACTTTGTCTAGAACTCCAATATTCTGGTTATAACTCAATATATATATGTACTTTTACTTAAATAAACTATGTATTTATTTATTTATAAAATCATAATTATATATTATGTACTTCGCCCTGCCCTGGTAACGATCTATTACTCTTTCATCTATCCTTATCTCAATTATGGTATTTGAGCTTGGAGTTCTATTATCCAAAATCATCTACGTCCTCTAATTACTCAACACACATCTATTAGGTAATAACAAACTCTGGTCCCAGGTAGCATTCAGCCCCCTACTTAAATATTTGAGCATGTAGAATATTGTCACTGAACATCCTCTCAAGTATACTTTATATATATAAAACTCTGAACTGTAATGCTAATTCTGATCTTAAACGCTACCTAGAGAGTTGTAACAGAACCGATGGGCACCACACCAGAAACAAAAATATTTTGATACTCCAAGAGTGCGTGTTAACCAAACTAGAAATGTTCTGCAAATCAGGGGTTCCAAAATGTGGAATGACCTTTCCAATCATGTGAAAGATTGTCCCTCTCTCAACCAGTTTAAGAAAAAACTAAGTCCTACCTAGTCAACTCCATGTAACCTACCTTACCGCCTAAATCTCAGCCTATGTTTTGCCATTTTCAAACATTAATGCTTAATGATTAATGATTAACTTGTAATGATTAATGACTTGTAAAACTGCTGATATCTGTCATGTATAAATTCAAAGAAATTTGTAGTCCGTCTGTTTCATTAGCTAAAATTACTATCTACTGTTCTGTTGCAATTTCTGCTGTTCCATTCAACATGTAATTATTGGTAAATTTGTCTACGTCAATTCAATTCATGATTTTGATCTCGATTAGTTTCAAGTCTTAGTTTAAAGTTTTACCCGCATCTGTCTATAGGGGGCCTGACGGCTAAATGAACAGCGCTCCGGTTTCGTAATTCTAAGGTTCTGGGTTCGATCCACGGCGGAGGCGGAAACAAATAGGCAGAGTTTCTTTCACCCTAATTCTGTTCTTAACCTAGCAGTAAATAGGTACCTAGAAGTTAGACAGCTGGTACGGGCTGCTTCCTAGAGAGATGTGTACAAAAAAAGGAAGCCTGGTCGAGGACCGGGCCGCGGGGACGATAAGCTCCGATATCATCTCTAGATAACCTCAAGATAATATATTAGTGGCTTTAGGCATAGTATATACTAGCTCCATCTAGAAATCTAATATTGTGCTTGTAACTCATTTTGTTTGTATGTACTATACCTACATAAGTTATTATAATTATTATTCACAGAGAGTAATCACACTAACGTGACAGCATTAATGAGAAAATCAGTAGCAGCCGTGATGAGGGTTCGAACCTATACGCAGGGTGTTCCCTTACACACGCTCCTAGCGACTAAACCATGACATTGATTAGGATTTCAACTTGGAGTTCTTCTGAACACACGAGAGATTCCCGAGACTGAAGCCGAACCAGGATATCACCCAGCGCATAGGTTCGAACCCTCATCACGGCATCTACGGATTTTCCCATTGATGCATTCACTTTAGTGTGATTACTCTCCGGGAGGAGCGCCAGATGTACAACATTACTTGATGACAGAGCCAGAGTGCATGGTGGGGTTGCCAGCCTTCACCACCTTCCCTCTCCCTCACCACCTTCCCTCTCCTCCACCACCTTCCCTCTCCGTCACCACCTTCCCTCTCCGTCACCACCTTCCCTCTCCTCCACCACCTTCCCTCTCCGTCACCACCTTCCCTCTCCGTCACCACCTTCCCTCTCCTTCACCACCTTCCCTCTCCTCCACCACCTTCCCTCTCCGTCACCACCTTCCCTCTCCTCCACCACCTTCCCTCTCCGTCACCACCTTCCCTCTCCGTCACCACCTTCCCTCTCCTCCACCACCTTCCCTCTCCTCCACCACCTTCCCTCTCCGTCACCACCTTCCCTCTTCGTCACCACCTTCCCTCTCCTTCACCACCTTCCCTCTCCTTCACCACCTTCCCTCTCCTTCACCACCTTCCCTACCCTTCACCACCTTCCCTCTCCGTCACCACCTTCCCTCTCCTTCACCACCTTCCCTCTCCGTCATCACCTTCCCTCTCCTTCACCACCTTCCCTCTCCTTCAACACCTTCCCTCTCCTTCACCACCTTCCCTCTCCTCCACCACCTTCCCTCTCCTTCACCACCTTCCCTACCCTTCACCACCTTCCCTCTCCTTCACCACCTTCCCTCTCCTTCACCACCTTCCCTCTCCTTCACCACCTTCCCTACCCTTCACCACCTTCCCTCTCCTTCACCACCTTCCCTCTCCTTCACCACCTTCCCTCTCCTTCACCACCTTCCCTCTCCTTCACCACCTTCCCTCTCCTTCACCACCTTCCCTCTCCGTCACCACCTTCCCTCTCCTTCACCACCTTCCCTCTCCTTCACCACCTTCCCTCTCCTTCACCACCTTCCCTCTCCTCCACCACCTTCCCTCTCCTTCACCACCTTCCCTACCCTTCACCACCTTCCCTCTCCTTCACCACCTTCCCTCTCCTCCACCACCTTCCCTCTCCTTCACCACCTTCCCTACCCTTCACCACCTTCCCTACCCTTCACCAACTTTGACCCTTCAACACCTTCCATACTCATCCCCACTTTCCATTCATCCGTTTAATCATCGTCAATAATAAACTTTATGAGAGGAACTATTTGTTTATGTACAAAATAATATGGCACACAATTGAGGTGAGATAAAATGTCAGGATGGAGCTGGTGTTTTGTCAAATTAGAATTTAGTGTCATTTTCCATTTCATGCAAAAAGGAAGGGAAGGCAGGAGGGGGGGAGGGAGAAGGGCATTGTGCTTGCCCTCGACACATATATGTGACTATCCCCCTGACCCAGTCACCCTTGCAAACATTAGTGAGGCTAGCCGCCGACATCTGGCCTCATCCTCGCACAGACCATTACCTGACAGATAGACAATCTTCTTTACTTACTTGTGCTATAATGTCATATAATATCAACATTTCTGTTTTGATAAAGTAGTTACTGATGCTGTTGAAGAAAATTTTATTTATTTTTTGCCTTTTTCTAGTGTATCCCTGCATGATCACCAGCATCGTCTTATGTGTCATTCAAGCCTTGAACAGCAGTCTTCTCATCTACGGCATTTATAAGGTAAGATTTTCTAGAACGTTCTTCTCAGATGATCTGGATCTTCTTTAAATAAATCCATTAAGGTAAGTTTACGGGAAGACTCCCTGAAGCTAACCACATGGGTTGGCTCCTAGTCAATCATGCCCCAGCAAACTCTAAGCACTTACACACAGAAATCACACTAACGTGATGTATCCAATTAACAAATCCACAAGGGCCGTGACGAGGATTCGAATCTGCGTCCGGGAGCATCCCAGACACTGCCTTAATCGACTGAGCTACGACAGGGTTAAAAGAGTTGAAACCTAAGTTCTACTCAACTTACTGGATCCCGCAGCTTCTCCAAGGCACAAACCAGGATTTTACACAACTCCCCCCTGCATTCGAGCTATGTCAATAGGCCGTTCTCCCTCTTCGCCCTTACATCACATTACAACTCAGTCGATTAAAGCAGTGTCTGGGATGCTCCCGGACGCAGGTTCGAATCCTAGTCACGGCCCTTGTGGATTTGTTCTAAGCACTTACTTATCAGAGTAGTGATAAGTGCTTATGACTCTCTCATCAGAGAGTCATAAGCACTTACTGCAGACCAGAGTAAGAACAAGCAAAGGGAGTCTGGGGCCACTACATCAACCCAAGACAAGGGAAAAGAGACCACAAAGATAGAGTGCCCCAAAAACATGCAACTGCCTGGAGAAAGGTTTGTAACACTGTCAACTAGGTCCACACTCGTATAGTCACTTGCCGCCATTACTTAGTTACACTCCCTCGCCACTAGGTGGCAGCCCAGCGCATCAGCCTGCTAAACCAACCCATCCTCAAATCTAGTCCATTCCATCAGCCGTCGACACCAAAGACCCATTCATTAATTTCTACATGCTGGTCATTCAAAATAGGAATTTTCTCAAATTTAAGATAATAATAATAATAATAATAATAATTATTATTTGCAAGAAGGTACAATGGGTTGGTGATATTACATAGGATTGGTATTTTTAAATTCATGCATAGCCACTAACAAGCATAGGGTTTCGATATATATATATATATATATATATATATATATATATATATATATATATATATATATATATATATATATACATATATATACATATATATACATATATATATATATATGTATATATATGTATATTTACATATGTATATATATGTAATATTTAGGCATTGGTTAGGTTAGGTTAGGTGGTTACGTTCTGTTGGCGATTATTTGTATTCGTAGTATGTGGGTGAAACATTTACTGCGTTGTAGTTCGAACAAAAAGTCGTTAGCGAAGCACTTGTTCCGGAAGTGTTCGGACGTCATCAGTTGTGAGTTGTGTGTAAACCGTTTTTCTCTCATAAACAGAGGGTTTGGCGGGTGCACGGAATGGACTTTAACCTTTGTTTATGAGGTCGGGCTGGGATACCACACCAAGCCAACCCGTCCTCGACTCAAGTCCATTACATTCAGCGGTCAACCCCACAGACGCATTCATAAATTTTAACATAATGTTCATTCAAAACAGGAATTTTCTCAAGTATAAATTAATATTATAATATATTAGCATATTATGTATATATAGGCATAGGATAGGTTAGGTTAGGTGTTTAGGTTCTGTTGGCGATTATTTGTATTTGTAGTACGTGGGTGAAGCATTTATAGCGTTGTGATTCGAACAAAATTCGTCAGTAAAGCACTTGTTCCGGATATGTTCGAATGTCAGCAGTTGTGAGTCGTGTGTAAACCGCTTTTCATTCATAAACAGGGGGTTTGGCGGGTGGATGGAATCACTTTTGGATCTTTGTTTGGAGGACGGGCTGCACCAAGCACATGCGTTTCAGCTCGCCCTCATAAACAAAGGCCAAAGTTTATTCCATCATTATTGAAATTTTGTCTATGTCTGATACGAGAATAAAGAAAAACAGTGGTGTAATAACTGTACTCTGAGGTACAGAGATTTTAACTGCGATTGGACTCGATTTTATTTAGTTCACTGTTACTCTTTGTGTTCTGTTCAACAGAAAATTGAATATGCACCGTCCTACTTTACCAGTTATTCCCATTGACCTGATTTTGTATGCTATCATGCCATGGTCACATTTATCGAATGCCTTTGCGAAGTCCGTGTATACCACATATGTATTGTTTTACTTCTAATGCCAGTGTTTTATCGTAGTGGCAAATTAGCTGTGAGAGGAATGATCTTGCCGCTTTAAGTCCATGTTGGCCTGGATTGTGGAAGTCATTGGTCTCCATGAAACTGGTGACCTGACTCCTGATCACTCTCTCAAATTCTTTAATTATGTGGGACGTTAATGCAACTGGTCTATAATTCTTTGCTAATGCTTTTCTCCCTCCCTTGTGTAGAGGGACTATGTTTGCTGATTTAAGCGCATCTGGTATCTTCCCCGTGTCCATGCACATCCTCCACGCTATACTGCGTGTCTGTGCTACTGGCACTTTGCATTTCTTTATAAATATTGAATTTCAGGAATCTAGACCCGGAGCGGAATGCATGGGCATGTTGTCAATTTACCTTTCAAAATTTGCTACGCTCCTGTTGATATCAGTTATTTTAACAGGGGTTTGGATATTATGAGTAAAAAAAGTTGTCCGGATCTTTTACTTTCATGCTCTTTATTGGTGGGCTAAACACGTACTCATACTGTTTTTTTTTTAGGATTTCACTAATTTCTTTGTCATCCTATCAGTGTATGAACCTTCACTCGTTCGAATAGATCCAATAGAGGCAGTGGGTTTTGCTTTTGATTTCGCATACGGGAAGAAATATTTTGGGTTTTTCTTTATTTCTTGAATTGCTTTCTGTTCAAGTTGCCATTTCTTCAATCTGATATGAATGCTTCAGTCTCTGCTCGATTTCTTCAGTCTCCTTATTTAAATTATACCTTCTTTGTAGGAAAAGTCGCGTCTGCTTAAGCATTTCCGATATTTTTTTCCTTCTTTTGTAGTGTAGTGTACCTGTCGTCTGCGTTCTCTTTCTACGTTGAACTTCTTTCTGGCTTTCCTCAAAGGAACATGTTTCAGATAGACTTTAAATTCTTCAGAAGTCAATTTTCTTCTGAAGGGTTTGCACTTTGCATTAAGAATTTTACTTATCTGCTGTCGCAATTTGAGCTTGATTCCTTGATTGGCAACCCGTCTAATGGATGCATTTTTGTTTTGATTGTCCCGCTCATTCACTCTTTTTGACGTCTCATCTGTCCCCGACAGCAAAACAAGATGAATTTCATGGGTTCCTCTTGCTGAATCAATACCATTTTCTTGGCTAATATTATATTTGCTTTATATTCATAAACGATAGCTCGTCTGACATCATTATTCCCAACAAGCTGTGTCTTGTGCCCTGTATTCCCTTAAGTTCATCATTTTTACCATATCTAAATATCTAGAATTTATCATTATTAAAATATTATTATTTCTGTTCCCCAAGTGAAGACTTTATTAATATTAGTTTATTGTTTTTCCATGACTTCTACAGAAGTAATTTGTAAGCAGAATTTTGTATCGTCTGCAGTAAATAAAACAAAGCAAATACTTGTATTTTTGTTTATATGTGATCTGAGTGACAAATAGAAGGGAACTATCAGGAAAAAGCGCCTAGCCATCACGACTATATAGACAAGGAAGGGGTCAGGATAAGGATTTGGGATGGGACGGCAGAGGGGGGGGAGGGGAGGAAGGCATAGTGCCCAACCACTTGGACGGTTGAGGATTGAACACCGACCTGCATGAAACTAGACCGGCATTCTACTGTCCAGCCCAAGTGCTTAAGACAGCGGTGCAAGGACTGTGCCCTGGGGAACACAGCGGTGCGAGGACTGTGCCCTGGGGAACACAGCGGTGCGAGGGATGTGCCCTGGGGAACACAGCGGTGCGAGGACTGTGTCCTTCCGGAGACAGCGGTGCGAGGACTGTGCCTTGGGGAACACAGCGGTGCGAGGACTGTGCCCTGGGGAACACAGTGGTGTGAGGACTGTGCCATGGGGAACACAACGGTGCGAGGACTGTGCCCTGTGGAACATATTAGTGCGAGGACTGTGCCCTTTAGAACACAGTAGTGCGAGGACTGTGCCCTGGGGAACACAGCAGTGCGAGGACTGTGCCCTGGGGAACACAGTAGTGCGAGGACTGTGCCCTGGGGAACACAGCGGTGCGAGGACTGTGCCCTGGGGAACACAGCGGTGCGAGGGCTGTGCCCTGGGGAACACAGCGGTGCGAGGACTGTGTCCTGCAGAACACAGCGGTGCGAGGACTGTGCCTTGGAGAACACAGCGGTGCGAGGACTGTGCCCTGGGGAACAGTGGTGCGAGGACTGTGCCTTGGGGAACACAGCGGTGCGAGGACTGTGCCCTGGGGAACACAGCGGTGCGAGGACTGTGCCCTGGGAAACACAGCGGTGTGAGGACTGTGCCCTGGGAAACACAGCGGTGCGAGGACTGTGCCCTGGGGAACACAGCGGTGCGAGGGCTGTGCCCTAGGGAACACAGTGGTGCGAGGACTGTGTCCTGCAGAACACAGCGGTGCGAGGACTGTGCCTTGGGAACACAGCGGTGCGAGGACTGTGCCCTGGGGAACACAGTGGTGCGAGGACTGTGCCTTGGGGAACACAGCGGTGCGAGGACTGTGCCCTGGGGAACATAGCGGTGCGAGGACTGTGCCCTGGGAACACAGCGGTGCGAGGACTGTGCCCTGAGGAACACAGCGGTGCGAGGACTGTGCCCTTTGGAACACAGAAGTGCGAGGACTGTGCCCTGGGGAACACAGCGGTGCGAGGACTGTGCCCTGGGGAACACAGCGGTGCGAGGGCTGTGCCCTGGGGAACACAGCGGTGCGAGGACTGTGTCCTGCAGAACACAGCGGTGCAAAGACTGTGCCTTGGGGAACACAGCGGTGCGAGGACTGTGCCCTGGGGAACACAGTGGTGCGAGGACTGTGCCTTGGGGAACACAGCGGTGCGAGGACTGTGCCCTGGGGAACATAGCGGTGCGAGGACTGT